CACGACTCGGACGTGGGTCGGACCGACCTTGTTAAGCATCAAATTGACACCGGTGCAGCCCGACCCATCAAACTCCCTGCGTACCGAGTGGGCGCACCCGAACGCGCCCAAATCAAAGAGGCAGTTGGGGACATGCTTCGCGATAACATAATTCAGCCCTCGGCGAGCCCCTGGTCAGCCCCGGTGGTACTAGTAACGAAAAAGGATGGGTCAACCCGGTTCTGCGTCGATTACCGTAAACTAAACGCAGTCACGCTCGGCGATGCCTTCCCCATACCTCGCATCGACGACACCTTCGACAGTCTCGCAGGAGCGCGGTATTTTTCCACCCTCGATCTGGCGTCCGGTTACTGGCAGGTGGAGATGACGGAGGAGGATCGGCCAAAAACAGCATTCACCACCCCGATGGGCCTGTTTGAGTTTCGAGTGTTGCCGTTCGGACTCACTAACGCGCCCGCGACGTTCCAGCGGTTGATGGAGTTGGTGATGCGGGGCTTGCAGTGGGAACAGTGCCTGATTTACTTGGACGATGTGATAGTGTTCAGTAGATCTTTGTCTGAGCATTGGTCCAGGCTTCGAGAGGTGTTCCAGCGACTGCGAGCGGCTCATCTCAAGCTCAAGCCACGTAAGTGTTACATCGCACAACGCGAGGTGGGGTACCTCGGGCATCGCGTCAGCGAGGCAGGCGTGCGCACCGATCCGGAGAAGGTACGCGCCGTAGTGGAGTGGCCACGGCCAAGGAATCTGACGGAGCTCAGATCATTTTTGGGGCTCGCCACCTATTATCGTCGATTTGTAAAGGGATTCAGCGAGATTGCACGCCCCCTCACCCAACTCACCTCCCCTAAGCACCCCTATCAGTGGACGGGGGCCTGCCAGACGGCCTTCACCACTCTCAAAGACCACCTCACCCACGCCCCCACCCTCGCTTTCCCCGATTTTACCACCGATTTTATTTTGGACACCGACGCCTGCAGCAGCGGGCTGGGCGCGGTGTTGTCACAGGTACAGGATGGGACGGAACGAGTCATCGCGTACGCCAGCCGGACCTTGAGTGGGGCCGAACTGAACTATTGCGTGACCCGCCAAGAGTTGTACGCCGTGATTTTCGCATGCAAACAGTTCCGGCCGTATTTGTACGGCAGGAGATGTCGCGTACGCACTGACCATTATGCTCTGCAGTTTCTGCTTACATTCAAGGAGCCGCGGGGGCAGATGGCCCGGTGGTTGGCGCAGTTGCAGGAGTACAACCTGCAAATCGAGTATCGGGCTGGCCGGACGCATGCAAACGCGGACGCCTTGTCGAGGCGACCCACGGTGTACGCCGAGACGAGGGCGGAGGAGGCCTGCCCGTGTTTCACGGGGGGACGCTGCCGGCAGGCAACGGACCCCCGAGAGGCCGCGGCCACTGACCCCCCCCCAGCGAGAGAGAGGGCAGTGTGCGCCACGGAAACCCTCACAGGTGGCACTGAGGATCCCGTCGACCGCCCGGCAAGCGCGGGACCCGCGGCTCGGGACCCGATTGGACGGATCAAGGAGGACGTCGGCTGCGCCTTCCCGGGCCTAAACGACGAGCAGCTGAGACAGACCCAGCAGCGAGATCCGGATCTGGCGGCAGTGGAGGTGGCACTGCGGGAGGAAAAGAGCGCCCTACCAGGACCCTGGAGCGGTTTGTATGCCCGGTTGTGTGTGCGGAACGGATTGGTACGGGAGTTAACCGAGGCCGGCCAGCCGGGGTGCATCTGTGTTCCTGCCCAGGTGCGACCCCAGCTGCTACGGCTGGTGCATGACCACCCACTCGGGGGCCACGATGGGGAACGACGCACTCGAGAGACCCTGCGTCGCCAGTATCTCTGGCCCAAATTGGCACAAGATGTGGCCGCCTGGGTGCAGGGCTGCCGGGCCTGTCAGCAGTGTGGGCAAAAGCCGGCGAGGTACCAGGTACCCCTGAGGCCGTTCCGAGTCAGTCGGACGAATCAGTTGGTCGGAATCGACCTGCAGGGGCCCTTTCCACGATCCCACCGGGGCAACCGGTATATTCTCGTAGCGGTGGAATACTTCACCCGCTACCCCGTGGCGGTGGCTATCCCGGATAAAACAGCCCTTGTAGTGGCCCGGGCCTTCGTGGAAAACTACGTACTTAAGTGCGGGATCCCCGAACGAGTCATTACCGACCAGGGTAGTGAATTCGAGGCCGAACTATTTCAGGCGCTGTGCCGAGAGTTCGGGATCCAGAAGGACCGAACCACGGCGTATCACCCCCAGGCGAACGGGATGGTAGAGAGGATGAACCAGACTCTGGCCGGGAAGCTTAAACGCATGGCGGCCGCGAATCAACAGGACTGGGACGAACACCTTCCCTATGCCCTGTTCGCCTACACCACCGCCGTTCACACCTCTACAGGACAGACCCCGTTCCTAATGATGTTTGGTCGCGAGTCTCGCCTGCCCGCAGATCTGCTGTTCGGTGTTCCTCCGCCGCAACGGGAGGAAGGGAGCCACCCCGTGGAGTACTTGCTGGAGACCCTGCGAGGGGCCAGGGGCCGAGCCTGCCCGCACGGAGAGGCCGCGCACCAGCGGCAAGAGCAGGGCGCCCGACCCCGTATGGAGCCCCCCTTCTACACTGCGGGCTCCGAGGTGTGGCTGTACACTCCCCGCGTCGGTGCCGGACAGGTGGGGAAGCTGACCACCTACTGGCGAGGACCCTGGATTGTGAGACGGCAGATCTCACCATGGACGGTGCTGATTCAGGGAGGAGAGAGGGGCCGGGAGATGGTGGTCAACATCCGCCGACTGAAGCCGTGGCGAGCAGCCCCCGAGGGGGGGAGCCCCGCCGTCCAAGTACCCCGAAACCCCGGGGTCCCCCCACCCCCCGTGCCCGGGGGCCTCGCGCAGTACATGGGCCCCACGGAGCCCCGGGCTCCGAGGGGCCCCGGGCGGGGCCGGGGGCGACGAGGACGGCGACCCTTAAACCCCACCGCCTCTGAGTTTGTTCCCCAGCCCGCAGGTGCCAGGGGCCGAGGGGAGCCGTTGGAATGGAGGAGGAGACCACCGCCGGAGCCCCAGGAGACGGAGCCGCCACCCCCGAGGCCAACCACAAGGGCCGGGCGAATCCCGCGGACCCCGCGGCGATACCTCGTGGGGGCAACCCAGGCGAGGTGCTCAAGTCAACCCGGGACGGGGACTGGCACCCCGGGGGGCTATGTGGTGCCACAGCGACGGGGCCGCTCTGCCGAGCCAGGGAGCCGCCCGGCTTCCCCCACCGCACTGCCCCCAATCACCCGCCCCACATAAGCACACACCCGCACGCATCCCCCCCCCCCCCCCCCCCCCATAGAGCTGGAAGGGAAGGTTACCCGATCGACCGGTTTTTATCCGAGAGACCCTTATCGGGATTAATTCTCACGGTTTCCGGCGATCAGGGAATTGGATGACCTCCCCCGTGCTACGTGGTACCGCGGCGCTGCTGCCGGCCTTAATATGGTATGGTCGCGGCGTGGGGCATTCGGCCACCGCGGTTGAGGCGCATTTCCCCCCACACACACCCCCACGAGTCGACGGGGCAAGCAGGGGAGGCACGGGACAGCATGAATAGCGGGGTCACAGGGGCTGTTGCGCATAGTCATGGAGGGTTGGGATAATTGCGCTTGAGCGCGCAAGCCCCATTGTTAGGAAGGGTAAGGGAGTAATTAGGATTTACGCCTTGCACGCAGCACACTGATTAGCATATCAACAGCGCCTGGGGACTGCCGTGCGCGGGCTTGGGGTGCACGAGCCCATTGTTCAGCGCAGCATCCCCTTTGGAGGTAGGGAGGATAAATAGAGGAGCGCAGAGGGGAAATCGCTCTCTTACTCCAGCGCCAGGCGACCAGACGCAGCTCGAGCCAGCGACCCGAACGTCCGTGCGACGCACCGAGGCACGCGGTTAACACAAGGATCAGCGGACCGCCGTGGACACTTAACAGTGAGTAAGAAGGGGAATTAGAATCATAGCCGATAAATAGGGAATAGGTACAGGTTTAGTGGAATAGGCCAGCCTCGTCGACTCACTGATTCAACATCAATTCGCAGGTGGCATATAATAAATCATTAATAGCGAAGCGTGGTCTCGCGTGATCTTGTCGTGCAGTGTGAGCGTGTGGGGGCGCTGTGTGCACAGTGGTTCGCCACGTGAGTGAGCGCTGCGCGGAGCTGAGCGCGCGGGTTGCGTGTGGGGACGCGTGTGGTACTGTGTGTGCGTAAGCTCGCGGCGTGCGTAATCGGCGTACCCCAGGTGCGCGATTGTAACGTGAGCGGCCAGCGCGGCGCAGAGAAGCGCAAGAGTGAGTGCCGTACAGAGCTGTGTGTGTGGGTGTGCGCGTACGTAATTAACCATGCCTGCTACGCGGACCCGCGGTGGAGTGGAACCCTCGGGCGACGGCTCCCACACCATGGGTGAGGAACTTAGCAGCGGTTCGCTTAGCAGCGGGGGGGCGATTGATGATGCTAGCCCGGCCGTTAGCATTATCGAGGGAGGGATTTCGGGGGCTAGCGACCCCCACACATCCTAATTACTCCCTTACCCTTCCTAACAATGGGGCCTGCGCGCTCAAGCGCAATTATCCCAACCCCCCATGACTATGCGCAACAGCCCCTGTGACCCCGCTATTCATGCTGTCTCGTGCCTCCCCTGCTTGCCCCGTCGACTCGTGGGGGTGTGTGTGGGGGGAAATGCGCCTCAACCGCGGTGGCCGAATGCCCCACGCCGCGACCACACAATATTAAGGCCGGCAGCAGCGCCGCGGTACCACGTAGCACGGGGGAGGTCATCCAATTCCCTGATCGCCGGAAACCGTGAGAATTAATCCCGATAAGGGTCTCTCGGATAAAAACCGGTCGATCAGGTAACCTTCCCTTCCAGCTCTATGGGGGGGGGGGGGGATGCGTGCGGGTGTGTGCTTATGTGGGGCGGGTGATGGGGGGCAGTGCGGTGGGGGAAGCCGGGCGGCTCCCTGGCTCGGCAGAACGGCCCCGTCGCTGTGGCACCACAGCTGCTGCGCTTCAATTAGTTCAAATTAACTGTGTAACATTTCACCCACTCGATGTGTTTTAAGCATTGATGTGATGGGAGTGATCGAGCCCGAAAGCAGGGATCACAAACACAGGCGAGGCGGGTGGCAGCTCCCTCACTCGAACTGAGTGCAGAGTAATCTCAGCGACGTCAGCATTCTCGCTGGCGATTCTAATCTAAATCCAGATTCAAAATCGATGCATTCTTGACGAACCTCCAATTTTGATTATGTGTTGCACCTCTTCATTCCGTCATCATGCTACTGGTGCCAAATATGGAATTTAGTCTAAAAATGTATTGATTCCAGACAGCTTTACTCAATTTGCCTTCATTCGCTCGTTCCGCCTTTTCACTTTGTTTTTGTTTTGTAAACATTGCGGTGCACCATTTAAACTTCTATAAAATTAATTTCTATACGTAAATATCGCATTGTTTGCAATGTCTTTCTTACTTTGGGAGAACTAGTTGGTGACGTTCACTCAACTATTGTGTTGGAAGCCGTTAAGCTTCACACGATTATAAAGTTAGTTCATCTTGTTCACTTGAAAACAAGACCTTACACCGATTATTCACTCCACGTGCAATCTTGCAACAGATGGCGTTCCTCTGGCGTTCGCTGCGGGTGTGCCAATATCATTCCAGAGTGCTTCGAAGAAGGGCCATTGCCCAAAACGTCGCATATTATACATGTCAAGGAAGTGTTATTGACGACGGTGGAGGGTTTTCTTCGTCGCAGAGGTTAAAGGTGGAAGGTTTAAGGCGGAGCCATCGCGGAGGGCAGGGGTGGTCGGTGACGTCGCCACGCTTCGGGTATAAAGGCGGCTGCTGCTGCAAGCTGAGCGCGCAGTCTCTCGCGAGGAGCTTTGTCACAAGTAGTCGCAATGTCTGGACGCGGTAAAGGCGGTAAGGGGCTCGGCAAGGGAGGCGCAAAACGCCATCGCAAGGTGCTGCGCGACAACATCCAGGGCATCACCAAGCCCGCCATCCGCCGCCTCGCTCGCCGCGGCGGTGTGAAGCGCATCTCGGGCCTCATCTACGAGGAGACCCGCGGCGTCCTGAAGGTCTTCCTTGAGAACGTCATCCGCGACGCCGTCACCTACACGGAGCACGCCAAGCGCAAGACCGTCACCGCCATGGACGTGGTCTACGCCCTCAAGCGCCAGGGCCGCACTCTCTACGGCTTCGGAGGCTGAGCGCCCATCTCTCGCACACTAAGCCAACCCAAAGGCTCTTTTCAGAGCCACCCACCTCTTCGAAACTGCTTGCGCCAGTGTTGCCAAACACGCTCTGAATGGAGCACATGTCCTGGGTTGTTGTGAGCGTGCTGGACGTTCGCTTGTTGAGTTGGCGAATCTTCATCTGCTTCCACATGAATGAATGAAAGAAATCATGATATTCACGTCACATTTAACAAGGCGTAATTCTTGAACGCCTTAATACAGTACCCATTTCTGGTATTTTTGCGTTAATTATTTCCAGCTGCAGCCGATTCCGATATTACGTCGAGCATTTGGCGCCACAATGTTACAGCACACTCGTCCTAATTGACGGAGCGTGCCGGAATGCTAATCTCCACCTGTACAGCACAACAGCGAAGTTATTTTTCTCCACCGAGCGCTTGTATTTTTCCAAATTGTGTTCATAAAACGCCCGTGCGCCGTATTAGACGAGTGGTGAAACAATCCCTCGTAAGAAACAAAAAAACCCACGCTCAAAACACAATATACTGTATTGGGTTTTCTAGTCATCCTTTTTAAAACAAAGGCAATGCCATGGCTGCAATTCACTAATATACAAGTTTGGGCATTACATTGTGTTATATTCACAAGTCCTTTTTGCAGTAAAATCGATATTAAAGTGAACATCGCGTCCGCGTTTCTCATTGGAGGCTGATGGAGAGGGACGGTACTAAAAGAGCCACTCAGCAGCGCCGCGCACTACGATCCTCTGATTTGCATCTCGCCTCCTATAAAAGGAGCTCAACGCGCGAGCGACATCCACATTCGCTTCCCGTCTGTTCTGACCTGAAGCTGCTGCCTACGACGCGTCGACATGCCCGATCCTCCCGCATCAAAGAGCGCTGGGCCGGCCAAGGTTCCTGCTCCCAAGAAGGGCTCCAAGAAGGCTGTGACCAAGGCTACGCGCAAGGATGGCAAGAAGCGACGCCACCGCAGGAAGGAGAGCTACGCCATTTACATCTACAAGGTGATGAAGCAGGTGCACCCCGATACCGGCATCTCGTCCAAGGCAATGAGCATCATGAACTCGTTCGTCAACGACATCTTCGAGCGCATCGCTTCCGAGGCGTCCCGCCTGGCGCACTACAACAAGCGCTCCACCATCACTTCTCGGGAGATCCAGACCGCAGTGCGACTGCTGCTCCCCGGCGAGCTGGCCAAGCACGCCGTGTCGGAGGGCACCAAGGCCGTCACCAAGTACACAAGCTCCAAGTGAAGCCTCGACTCCACCATTAATTACAAAGGCTCTTTTCAGAGCCACCCACCTCTCCGAACCTGCTTGTACCAGTCCTAGCAGGAGTACTAAACGAAACTTCCAACAAAGCCCCGGTTCACGCGGGGACATTGTTCGCTCATTGAGTGGAATGGAGAGATGGAACGCATTTTAACCTGTTTCCACGTGAATAAAAGCGATAACAATATTCATGGCACATGTTCACCAGCAGGCATTTCTTGGACTTGTTTGTCTATTGATTTCATCTGCAGCCCATTCAGATATTACATTGGATATTTGGTGCCAAAACCTTGCAATGCAATATATTTAATTCGTGGTTGTATTTTCGGGCAGGAACTAACATTTTGCACGTGTACATCTATGTAAAAGTAAGCGCCTAGCATGGATGACTCGTGCAGTATAATTGATGATCATCATCTCAATGCCAAGAGAATAGATATCTATCCCTGTGATCACCTCTTTCCGACAATTTTACGTATTAACTTTGGAGCTTTCGTGACTGCAGGAATTATTCTTTGGTTCTTTCGGTAAAGTCACGTATATAAAGAAACAAATTGGTGATATCTGTCTGCTTATATGTCTGTCTATAATTTTTTTCTGGTTCGATTTTATGTCGCTATTTCATTATACCTGATGATTGCTTGTGTTGCAATCGAAACGTCGTATGCTGTAATATATTATTTTTTCTTTATACGTGACTTTACCGAAAGAACCAAAGAATATTTTTTACGTATTACTGCTTCCAATGAAGTGCAGTTTCTTCACACTTTATTTAGATCATGCGGAGCACTGTAAAGTTGTTTTCGGAAAGGTGTTTGCTTGAGAAAAGAAGATCCGTTAAAGACATGGACGGCGCTCAAACGGAACTACTGCATCGTGATGCGGCATTCTGCAATGCTCCAAAGTGAGAACATTTCGTTGATGAAGAAGAGTTGACGACTCGAGATCATTGCACGCTGCCAACCAATCAGCACGCGCCCCTTCTTCGCACGTCACGACTCCGCTGACCAGTGAGCGCGCGCTCTGGGCTACATAAGCCGCCTTCTCCTCCCCGCCTGTGAGAATCTTTGCCCTCACCAAGCCATGGCTCGCACCAAGCAGACGGCTCGCAAGTCCACGGGCGGCAAGGCCCCCCGCAAGCAACTCGCCACCAAGGCGGCCCGAAAGAGCGCTCCGGCCACGGGCGGCGTCAAGAAGCCTCACCGCTACAGGCCCGGCACCGTCGCTCTGCGCGAGATCCGCCGCTACCAGAAGTCCACCGAGCTGCTCATCCGCAAACTGCCCTTCCAGCGCCTCGTCAGGGAGATCGCGCAGGACTTCAAGACCGACCTGCGCTTCCAGAGCTCCGCTGTCATGGCTCTGCAGGAGGCCAGCGAAGCGTACCTTGTCGCGCTCTTCGAGGACACCAACCTGTGCGCCATCCACGCCAAGCGCGTCACCATCATGCCCAAGGACATTCAGCTCGCCCGCCGCATTCGTGGCGAGCGCGCTTGAACGCCCAGCTCGGCCCTCAAAGCACAACACAAAGGCTCTTTTCAGAGCCACCACTTACTCGTGAGAAAGCTTCCATGTGTGTCCTTCAAAGTTCGGGTGCCGGAAACCTTCGTTTGCTGGTCACGGCTCTCACGAGTCGTCAGGCGTAAGCGACAATCAAGTTCATTTTCTATACCCCGCCGCTCATTCTGCAACATCACACGTTGGTGTTGTGTATAAGCGTTGTGAAACCATGTTTACATAATGTACAACAAAAGAGTTATTTTGGTGAAATGTATTTTACCTCGGAGTCGCGTGGTGGTGTGGAGGCCTAGCACCGTGCAGAGCCTCACGCCTCGCCTGATTTTGCCACCCGGCTGACGCTGGGTACGGGTGCCGTTTCCCCCCCCCCCCCGCGCTTCAATAATACTGTGTAATCGCTATAATTTTATAATCTACCGACCCTATAATAGTAATAGCACACATTGTGGTGGGGGGGGGAGTAAAGAGGACGTGAAACTTAGATGAATTTACCTCAGAGTCGCGTGTTAATGCGTGCGCCTATTTTTAACGGGAATTAAAGATGGCGTCCACCCCGCAACTGCTAGCCCGTCGCTAGCCGTTGCCAGGGGCAACCGGCGTCCAATGAAAGCGGCGAAGACGTCGCTAGGCGTTGCCAGGGGCAACCGGCGTCCAATGAAAGCGGCGAAGACGTCGCTAGGCGTTGGCAGGGGCAACCGGCGTCCAATGAAAGTGCGTATGGTCCGACATCCACACACAGACAGACAGACATTCACGATTTTATATATATAGATTAAACCCAAAGATATTGGTTCATGTTGTTTCAAGCCCGAGCTGATAAGAAGTTCACATTTTGCAAAGTGAGACTGAATTATTCACGCACATATATTTTTAGGCATTGCCCGAACAGGCGGTTAAAGAAAAATATCTATACACCGTATAGGCACGTGGGCGATCAATCACGAGCTCAAGGCTATCACAATGATTTATTATAACCAATGCGGTCCCTCAAAATGATGATTATAATCAATAATACATTGATATTTGCGGAATCCGCTTATAAGTTTGACTTGCCAGCACGCGCCCATGAATTAACTCTATCATGCTTAAAACTTGAACCTATTAAGTACGTGTATCGCATTGTTTAATTCATAAGATGCGTGTCCGCATTAAAATATATATGGATACAAATAATGAAAGTCAACATCGAATCCTCGCGTCCCGGCTTGTCATTGGTGGCTCAAGGAGAGGGCGGGACTCGAGCGAGAGGAGCCAATCAGCAGCGGCGCGCTCTACGATCCTCGTCTCCGCTATAAAAGCCGCTCCCGTGGTGCGTGTTAACGTCACAAATCGTTCGTACTTTGTCTCCAGTGCTTTTTGCATCCTAGGTCCGTTAACGATGTCTGGACGCGGCAAGACCGGTGGCAAATCTCGCGCCAAGGCAAAGTCCCGCTCTTCCCGCGCCGGCCTGCAGTTCCCCGTGGGTCGCGTTCACAGGCTGCTCCGCAAGGGCAATTACGCCCAGCGGGTCGGCGCTGGAGCACCCGTCTACCTGGCCGCCGTGCTCGAGTACCTTTCTGCCGAGATCCTCGAGCTGGCTGGCAATGCCGCCCGCGACAACAAGAAGACGAGGATCATCCCCCGACACCTGCAGCTCGCCGTGCGAAACGACGAGGAGCTCAACAAGCTCATGGGCGGCGTGACTATCGCCCAGGGCGGTGTGCTGCCCAACATCCAGGCCGTGCTGCTGCCCAAGAAGACCTCTCAGGCAAAGAAGTGAACGCGCCGCCGCCTCTACCACCACAACAACGGCTCTTTTCAGAGCCACCCACTTGCTTGCAAAGAGCTCGGACAGTCGTGCACAGGGGTTTTGTTATTAATAAGGACACCGTCGTCGAGTTGCCCTCGTCCCAAATTGCTCGCAATTAAACGAATGCTCTGCTCGTTCCAGATACCCTTTATGTCTAATTTAGGAACGGTATTTGAGCAGCATTCCAACATTGCATCAATCATGGAACATGGTTTAGAATAAATTGAGGTGCCTATTGGAAGAAAGTATCGTGTTTTTTTAAAGAATAAAACTCGCTCTTTTTGAGCGGTCAGATTACATATGAAGAGGAGTCGGAGAATGGTTCAAGCACTTTAAGGGATCTGCGAGCCACCCTCACGCACCACGCAAACACGACATCTCCGCTCTCACGACAACACGCACCAATCAATCTTAATTTTTTTTCACACACGCGCGGGAAATAAGAGCTGGACGGGGGGGTCAGGGGTTAAAGGGCAGTGACGTCACCAGGACCAGGCGTGCTGGACGCGAATGTGTATTGGGAGCGGAGATTGAGGAGTTAAAAGGGGCTGTGGGACGTGTGCCCGGGGTTGGTCTTGGAACGAATATTGCTGTGCGTTGCGGAGATTGAGGAGTTAAAAGGGGCTGTGGGACGTGTGCCCGGGGTTGGTCTTGGAACGAATATTGCTGTGCGTTGCGGAGATTGAGGAGTTAAAAGGGGCTGTGGGACGTGTGCCCGGGGTTGGTCTTGGAACGAATATTGCTGTGCGTTGGTGAAAACAGGTCCCTGTGGGGTGGGCTGGTAGGACCGAACAATTGAATGGCTATAATAAAATGAAATGGCAAAAAATGGGCGCCAATGAGTGGATGGAAACGTAGACGTAGTGGAACATAAGAAACAATAAAGTAGTAGTAACCGTTCTGCAAAAAAATAATAGTATTGCACAAGTATGTACCTACGTGAGTGCAGCTTGGAGCAGACACAGTGAGTAGTAACAATCTGCACGAGATGCAGCGCCGTGGGCCACGCCCCTATCACTGTTAGCCCCGCCTCCTCGCCCCCGGTACTGTATTCTCGACTGTAGACTCCGCCCCTTTTCGCCAACGGCCCCTCCCTCCATCGCGCTAAGCTCCGCCTCCCACCGCTTGACCCCGCCCCGCTCCCCCGTGGCCCCGCTCCGCCCCCGTGGCCCCGCCCTCCACCCGCGTAACCCCGCCCCGCCACCCGTGGCCCCGCCCCATCTCGGTGTCCCCGCCCAGCCCCGCCCAGCCCCGCCCCCTGCCGCTGTAGCCCCGCCCGCTGCCGCGTAGCCCCGCCCCCTGCCGCTGTAGCCCCGCCCCCTGCCGCTGTAGCCCCGCCCCCTGCCGCGTAGCCCCGCCCCCTGCCGCGTAGCCCCGCCCCCTGCCGCGTAGCCCCGCCCCCTGCCGCTGTAGCCCCGCCCCCTGCCGCGTAGCCCTGCCCCCTGCCGCTGTAGCCCCGCCCCCTGCCGCGTAGCCCCGCCCCCTGCCGCTGTAGCCCCGCCCCCTGCCGCTGTAGCCCCGCCCCTTGTCGCGTAGCCCCGCCCCCTGCCGCGTAGCCCCGCCCCCTGCCGCGTAGCCCCGCCCCCTGCCGCGTAGCCCCGCCCCCTGCCGCGTAGCCCCGCCCCCTGCCGCTGTAGCCCCGCCCAATACACCCCGAGCGGGGGAGAGATTCCCAGGCCTGGCTCGGCTGGAGAGCCGCCGACGAGGGGGGGGAGGTAGGGAGTTGTTTTTAATGAAAAAGCTTTAAATGTAAATGTTTCTATTAAAAAACATCAGGGAATGTAACCTTGTTAACCATTTACTCCCTTTCACACACGCGGGGGAACTATACGAAGGGAGAGCTTGAGGCCTAGGTCTAGGCTTTAGGCCTACCTGTAGGCCTTAGGCCGCCGTGGGTTAATTGTTAATATAAATGTTTTAATTATTTATGTTGAAGCTTTAAATGTCAATGTTGCTATTTAAAAACATCAGGGAGTGTAACATTGTAATTAAAAGCTATCTGAGGGAATTATAAGGGAATGCTACACTTGGTTAGCCAGGATAGCGTCACTGAGTCTAAATGTTTTTGTAGGGTCATGCCAAGTGTTTGCAGTAGGGGGCGATGTTGACACACGGACGGACGGACGGACAAACGGACGCACGATATAATCTATTGGAGTCTGGTCCACTTCGTTCCTACCAGAAGTGCATAAACCAATCTACTACGCCTCTTCACATGCGCGTGGAACGAATGATTATTGCATTCGTTCTAAATTTGTAGCTTTCGTGACTGCAATGATTCATACTCTTAGGTTTTTTCGGTAAAGTCACGTAGGTAAAACAATAATAAATAACTAAAACAATATAAATAATAAAATAACAAATCAGGGGGGAAGAGGGGGGCTTATCTGAATGTGGTTGCCGGGAAGTGGCGGGGGTGTCGGGGCTAAAAGAGAACAAATGAGCACATCAGCTCAGGGTTGTGGCCGGTGTTAGCTGATAGTAAGCATAAAAGTACTGGTAAACGCTGGGGATGTTAACACTCGGTAAAGTATAATATTACCTGTCAAATAAGATGGTACAAATATGTGTAGTTAAATATTTTTTACATGGTTAATAACATCTTTCCAATGATTACTCATTCGTGTTACTTAGTGCAGTAAATACGTGTTACTTATTGCAGTAAAAACAACTCATCGCATGAACCATCCTGCGCTCCTAGAATATCAACTCTGTCAATGCATTAAACGTAAGATTATATATTTTCTTTAAACATTCGACTGCGGAGTCACTTGAGTTGAATTTGAGTGGTGATGATTGTGCACCGTGCCTTCAAGGCGCGCGACCCTTCTGCAGTGCGTGAGCTACTCATATCTTGCCACGTAAAATGTTAAACTTTCCATATAATGTCGGTTAATTTTGAGTAATTTTCTTCAGTTTGTTGTCCATCTGAAAATCCATATATTTATTCATTTCAAAGTTCGATTAAAACGTCCAGTTAAAAGTTCGGTGACAAGGGACGATTGACATGGCGCGCAGTCCTCACCATAGCGCGAGAGGAGGAATCGCGAGCGCGCGAGGCAAAACTTAAATAGAAAATATTTCGTTGGAATTAAATGAGTAGTATGTTTAAGCATCTTGTCTTGCAAAAAATTCGAGTGCGTTTTAAATAGTGTTCATCAGTAACACTTTTGAAAACCGACAATCATCATATCTTGCCCTGACCGAACAATGTCTCCCAAATGTTGGTTGTTCACTTGTTTAGAATTATAATTTATATCGTGAGCATTGTCGTATATTGCATAAGTAACGTACATTAAAGAAGTGATCTTCGTGATGATGTATCAACTAGATGCATGTAAGTATGAACGTTACGGGAGTAATCGAGCCCAAAGGCAGGCGTGATAAACACAGTGAGTATGGTGGCAACTCCCTCACTAGAGCTGAGTGCTGGATGATCTCAGCGACGTCCGCATTCAGTACGCCGCTTCTATAATAACCTCGGGCCTGGAGGACGCTCGGTTCGAATTCGTGAGAGCGCTGATTTCGATTTCCAAGAGGCGAGGCGATAAAAGCGACGTCTTGAGATGGCGGAAACTGCTCCTGCTCAACCACCAGCTGCGGCTACTTCAGCGCCTAAAAGCCCCAAGAAGAAGCGCGCCGCTCCAAAGGCCAAGAAGGTCGGCCCCAGCGTGTCCGAGCTCATCCTCAAGGCTCTGGCCAGCAGCAAGGAGAGGAACGGCGTGTCTCTTCCTGCGCTCAAAAAGTCGCTTGCTGCCGGAGGATACGACGTGGAGAAGAACAATGCCCGCGTGAAGTTGGCCATCAAGAAGCTCGTGGCCAAAGACGCCGTGGCGCAAGTGAAGGGCAGCGGCGCGTCTGGCTCTTTCAAACTCAACAAGGAAAAGGCTGCCGCAAAGGCGAAGCCCAAGTCGTCAACGGCAAAGCCCGCAGCTAAAAAGCCCGCGGCAGCCAAGAAGGTGAAGAAGCCCGCGGCAGCCAAGAAGACCGCGCCCAAGAAGTCTCCCAAGAAAGCAAAGAAGCCCGCGGCTGCCAAGGCGGCCAAGAGCCCCAAAAAGGTGAAGTCGGCTGTTAAGCCCAAGAAGGCGGCGAAGAGCCCAGCCAAGCCCAAGGCTGCGAAGCCCAAGGTCGCTAAGCCCAAGACCGTCAAGGCCAAGGCCGCCAAACCCAAGGTGGCCAAGCCCAAGAAGGCCGCGGCCAAGCCCAAAAAGACTGCGCCAAAGAAGTGAATCCGATGGGACGACCGACGCTCGATTCACTCCACCTCAACGGCTCTTTTCAGAGCCACCCACTTCGTTCAAAAAGTGAACCAGATGCTGTGTGGGGGCCGTTGGCCCCCGGGGTCCCTCCCGCCTGCATCCCCTATTCCGTTTACGTTACCCCACCTCCCTATTACTCGCTACGGTTTCGCCGGCATTCGAATGCGACGCCCCTACTGTTACAGCCTCGCGCCGCGCTCCCACGCTGCGAGCATACGTGCGCACATCATCGTCAATCAAACGCCGTGCTCGCAGTATAGCCCTGTGCGGCACGTTACCAATGCGCATCCGTATCCGACATGTAACGAACGTATGCACACACACACACACGCCGCTCCGTGCACTCCAACTCCACACCAACTACGCAAGTTATGATCGCGCACCTGTATCACACACGGAGTGAACACACGCGACACCCACTCTTGCGCCGCTCTGCGCAGCGCTCGCCGTCTGCTGGCCGCTTGCGTTATGATCGCGCACCTGGGGTACGCCTATTACGCACGCCGCGAGCTTACGCACACACAGTACCACACGCGTTCCCACACGCAACCCGCGCGCTCAGCTCCGCGCAGCGCTCACTCACGTGGCGAACCACTGTGCACACAGCGCACCTGTTGGGGCCGCTGGTCCCCGGAGTCCCTCCCTGCTCCGTGCCTATGGCAGGGGCTCCGCCGTGCGCCGACCCCTCGCTGCTCTGCGAGCAGCTGCTGCCGTCGCTGGGCTCATCGCCCGACGGCTCCCCTCCCTGGTCCGTCCCTCCGCGAGCTCGTGTGAGAGGCATAGCTCGCCGCACGCCCTCGTTCACCTGCAGACGCTGCGTTGTCTCTCCACGGATCACGCGCTATTAAACGGGGGTCGGGGGCGAACGACACTGCCCTCACACTGCGCGAGTCCCGGCGGCGACAGACGGATCGGGGACCTGCGGACGCACCGACCCCTTCACCCACACTACGAGCGCACACACCTGCACACACGCGACACCCACTCGTGCGCCGCTCTACGCAGCGCTCACTCACGTGGTGAACCACAGTGTACACACGCGCACCCACACGCTCACACTGCACGACAATATCACGCGAGACCACGCTTCGCTATTAATGATTTATTATCTGATACCTGGTAATTTAATGTTAAATCAGTGAGTCGACGAGGCTGGCCTACGCTGATACCTTTATACCTATTCCCGATTTATCTGCTATGATTCTAATTCACCTACTTACTTCCTGCTGGATGCCCACGGCGGTTCGTTGATCCCGTGCTCGCAGCGCACCTCGATGCGTCTCACGGACGATCGGGTCGCTGGACTGGAGAGCGTCCTGTCGCCTGGCGCTGGAGAGAAGAGAGCGATTTCCCCTCCGCGCTCCTCTATTTATCCTCCCTACCTCCAAAGGGGATGCTGCGCTGAACAATGGGCTCGTGCACCCCAAGCCCGCGCACGGCAGTCCCCAGGCGCTGTTGATATGCTAATCAGTGAGCGACGTTGGCGGCGTACATCCTAATTACTCCCTTACCCTTCCTAACAATGGGGCCTGCGCGCTCAAGCGCAATTATCCCAACCCCCCATGACTATGCGCAACAGCCCCTGTGACCCCGCTATTCATGCTGTCTCGTGCCTCCCCTGCTTGCCCCGTCGACTCGTGGGGGTGTGTGTGGGGGGAAATGCGCCTCAACCACGGTGGCCGAATGCCCCACGCCGCGACCACACCATATTAAGGCCGGCAGCAGCGCCGCGGTACCACGTAGCACGGGGGAGGTCATCCAATTCCCTGATCGCCGGAAACCGTGAGAATTAATCCCGATAAGGGTCTCTCGGATAAAAACCGGTCGGCCAGGCGACCTCCCCTCGGAGCTCTATGGGGGGGGGGGGGGAATGAGTGCAGGTGTGTTCATGTGAGGTGAGGTGAGGGGGACGCGGGGTCGGCTCCGTTGCTTGGTGGTGGCGAGGTCGGGGATTTGGTGCCTGCCGAACGGCTTCGTGGCGGCGGCATCACACACCCACACGCTCACACTGCACGACAAGATCACGCGAGACCACGCTTCGCTATTAATGATTTATTATATGCCACCTGCGAATTGATGTTGAATCAGTGAGTCGACGAGGCTGGCCTATTCCACTAAACCTGTACCTATTCCCTATTTATCGGCTATGATTCTAATTCCCCTTCTTACTCACTGTTAAGTGTCCACGGCGGTCCGCTGATCCTTGTGTTAACCGCGTGCCTCGGTGCGTCGCACGGACGTCCGGGTCGCTGGCTCGAGCTGCGTCTGGTCGCCTGGCGCTGGAGTAAGAGAGCGATTTCCCCTCTGCGCTCCTCTATTTATCCTCCCTACCTCCAAAGGGGATGCTGCGCTGAACAATGGGCTCGTGCACCCCAAGCCCGCGCACGGCAGTCCCCAGGCGCTGTTGATATGCTAATCAGTGAGCGACGTTGGCGGCGTACATCTGTGGTGCCACAGCGACGGGGCCGCTCTGCCGAGCCAGGGAGCCGCCCGGCTTCCCCCACCGCACTGCCCCCAATCACCCGCCCCACATAAGCACACACCCGCACGCATCCCCCCCCCCCCCCCCCATAGAGCTGGAAGGGAAGGTTACCCGATCGACCGGTTTTTATCCGAGAGACCCTTATCGGGATTAATTCTCACGGTTTCCGGCGATCAGGGAATTGGATGACCTCCCCCGTGCTACGTGGTACCGCGGCGCTGCTGCCGGCCTTAATATGGTATGGTCGCGGCGTGGGGCATTCGGCCACCGCGGTTGAGGCGCATTTCCCCCCACACACACCCCCACGAGTCGACGGGGCAAGCAGGGGAGGCACGGGACAGCATGAATAGCGGGGTCACAGGGGCTGTTGCGCATAGTCATGGAGGGTTGGGATAATTGCGCTTGAGCGCGCAAGCCCCATTGTTAGGAAGGGTAAGGGAGTAATTAGGATTTACGCCTTGCACGCAGCACACTGATTAGCATATCAACAGCGCCTGGGGACTGCCGTGCGCGGGCTTGGGGTGCACGAGCCCATTGTTCAGCGCAGCATCCCCTTTGGAGGTAGGGAGGATAAATAGAGGAGCGCAGAGGGGAAATCGCTCTCTTACTCCAGCGCCAGGCGACCAGACGCAGCTCGAGCCAGCGACCCGAACGTCCGTGCGACGCACCGAGGCACGCGGTTAACACAAGGATCAGCGGACCGCCGTGGACACTTAACAGTGAGTAAGAAGGGGAATTAGAATCATAGCCGATAAATAGGGAATAGGTACAGGTTTAGTGGAATAGGCCAGCCTCGTCGACTCACTGATTCAACATCAATTCGCAGGTGGCATATAATAAATCATTAATAGCGAAGCGTGGTCTCGCGTGATCTTGTCGTGCAGTGTGAGCGTGTGGGGGCGCTGTGTGCACAGTGGTTCGCCACGTGAGTGAGCGCTGCGCGGAGCTGAGCGCGCGGGTTGCGTGTGGGGACGCGTGTGGTACTGTGTGTGCGTAAGCTCGCGGCGTGCGTAATCGGCGTACCCCAGGTGCGCGATTGTAACGTGAGCGGCCAGCGCGGCGCAGAGAAGCGCAAGAGTGAGTGCCGTACAGAGCTGTGTGTGTGGGTGTGCGCGTACGTAATTAACCATGCCTGCTACGCGGACCCGCGGTGGAGTGGAACCCTCGGGCGACGGCTCCCACACCATGGGTGAGGAACTTAGCAGCGGTTCGCTTAGCAGCGGGGGGGCGATTGATGATGCTAGCCCGGCCGTTAGCATTATCGAGGGAGGGATTTCGGGGGCTAGCGACCCCCACACATCCTAATTACTCCCTTACCCTTCCTAACAATGGGGCCTGCGCGCTCAAGCGCAATTATCCCAACCCCCCATGACTATGCGCAACAGCCCCTGTGACCCCGCTATTCATGCTGTCTCGTGCCTCCCCTGCTTGCCCCGTCGACTCGTGGGGGTGTGTGTGGGGGGAAATGCGCCTCAACCGCGGTGGCCGAATGCCCCACGCCGCGACCACACAATATTAAGGCCGGCAGCAGCGCCGCGGTACCACGTAGCACGGGGGAGGTCATCCAATTCCCTGATCGCCGGAAACCGTGAGAATTAATCCCGATAAGGGTCTCTCGGATAAAAACCGGTCGATCAGGTAACCTTCCCTTCCAGCTCTATGGGGGGGGGGGGGGGATGCGTGCGGGTGTGTGCTTATGTGGGGCGGGTGATGGGGGGCAGTGCGGGGGGGGAAGCCGGGCGGCTCCCTGGCTCGGCAGAACGGCCCCGTCGCTGTGGCACCACAGCTGCTGCGCTTCAATTAGTTCAAATTAACTGTGTAACATTTCACCCACTCGATGTGTTTTAAGCATTGATGTGATGGGAGTGATCGAGCCCGAAAGCAGGGATCACAAACACAGGCGAGGCGGGTGGCAGCTCCCTCACTCGAACTGAGTGCAGAGTAATCTCAGCGACGTCAGCATTCTCGCTGGCGATTCTAATCTAAATCCAGATTCAAAATCGATGCATTCTTGACGAACCTCCAATTTTGATTATGTGTTGCACCTCTTCATTCCGTCATCATGCTACTGGTGCCAAATATGGAATTTAGTCTAAAAATGTATTGATTCCAGACAGCTTTACTCAATTTGCCTTCATTCGCTCGTTCCGCCTTTTCACTTTGTTTTTGTTTTGTAAACATTGCGGTGCACCATTTAAACTTCTATAAAATTAATTTCTATACGTAAATATCGCATTGTTTGCAATGTCTTTCTTACTTTGGGAGAACTAGTTGGTGACGTTCACTCAACTATTGTGTTGGAAGCCGTTAAGCTTCACACGATTATAAAGTTAGTTCATCTTGTTCACTTGAAAACAAGACCTTACACCGATTATTCACTCCACGTGCAATCTTGCAACAGATGGCGTTCCTCTGGCGTTCGCTGCGGGTGTGCCAATATCATTCCAGAGTGCTTCGAAGAAGGGCCATTGCCCAAAACGTCGCATATTATACATGTCAAGGAAGTGTTATTGACGACGGTGGAGGGTTTTCTTCGTCGCAGAGGTTAAAGGTGGAAGGTTTAAGGCGGAGCCATCGCGGAGGGCAGGGGTGGTCGGTGACGTCGCCACGCTTCGGGTATAAAGGCGGCTGCTGCTGCAAGCTGAGCGCGCAGTCTCTCGCGAGGAGCTTTGTCACAAGTAGTCGCAATGTCTGGACGCGGTAAAGGCGGTAAGGGGCTCGGCAAGGGAGGCGCAAAACGCCATCGCAAGGTGCTGCGCGACAACATCCAGGGCATCACCAAGCCCGCCATCCGCCGCCTCGCTCGCCGCGGCGGTGTGAAGCGCATCTCGGGCCTCATCTACGAGGAGACCCGCGGCGTCCTGAAGGTCTTCCTTGAGAACGTCATCCGCGACGCCGTCACCTACACGGAGCACGCCAAGCGCAAGACCGTCACCGCCATGGACGTGGTCTACGCCCTCAAGCGCCAGGGCCGCACTCTCTACGGCTTCGGAGGCTGAGCGCCCATCTCTCGCACACTAAGCCAACCCAAAGGCTCTTTTCAGAGCCACCCACCTCTTCGAAACTGCTTGCGCCAGTGTTGCCAAACACGCTCTGAATGGAGCACATGTCCTGGGTTGTTGTGAGCGTGCTGGACGTTCGCTTGTTGAGTTGGCGAATCTTCATCTGCTTCCACATGAATGAATGAAAGAAATCATGATATTCACGTCACATTTAACAAGGCGTAATTCTTGAACGCCTTAATACAGTACCCATTTCTGGTATTTTTGCGTTAATTATTTCCAGCTGCAGCCGATTCCGATATTACGTCGAGCATTTGGCGCCACAATGTTACAGCACACTCGTCCTAATTGACGGAGCGTGCCGGAATGCTAATCTCCACCTGTACAGCACAACAGCGAAGTTATTTTTCTCCACCGAGCGCTTGTATTTTTCCAAATTGTGTTCATAAAACGCCCGTGCGCCGTATTAGACGAGTGGTGAAACAATCCCTCGTAAGAAACAAAAAAACCCACGCTCAAAACACAATATACTGTATTGGGTTTTCTAGTCATCCTTTTTAAAACAAAGGCAATGCCATGGCTGCAATTCACTAATATACAAGTTTGGGCATTACATTGTGTTATATTCACAAGTCCTTTTTGCAGTAAAATCGATATTAAAGTGAACATCGCGTCCGCGTTTCTCATTGGAGGCTGATGGAGAGGGACGGTACTAAAAGAGCCACTCAGCAGCGCCGCGCACTACGATCCTCTGATTTGCATCTCGCCTCCTATAAAAGGAGCTCAACGCGCGAGCGACATCCACATTCGCTTCCCGTCTGTTCTGACCTGAAGCTGCTGCCTACGACGCGTCGACATGCCCGATCCTCCCGCATCAAAGAGCGCTGGGCCGGCCAAGGTTCCTGCTCCCAAGAAGGGCTCCAAGAAGGCTGTGACCAAGGCTACGCGCAAGGATGGCAAGAAGCGACGCCACCGCAGGAAGGAGAGCTACGCCATTTACATCTACAAGGTGATGAAGCAGGTGCACCCCGATACCGGCATCTCGTCCAAGGCAATGAGCATCATGAACTCGTTCGTCAACGACATCTTCGAGCGCATCGCTTCCGAGGCGTCCCGCCTGGCGCACTACAACAAGCGCTCCACCATCACTTCTCGGGAGATCCAGACCGCAGTGCGACTGCTGCTCCCCGGCGAGCTGGCCAAGCACGCCGTGTCGGAGGGCACCAAGGCCGTCACCAAGTACACAAGCTCCAAGTGAAGCCTCGACTCCACCATTAATTACAAAGGCTCTTTTCAGAGCCACCCACCTCTCCGAACCTGCTTGTACCAGTCCTAGCAGGAGTACTAAACGAAACTTCCAACAAAGCCCCGGTTCACGCGGGGACATTGTTCGCTCATTGAGTGGAATGGAGAGATGGAACGCATTTTAACCTGTTTCCACGTGAATAAAAGCGATAACAATATTCATGGCACATGTTCACCAGCAGGCATTTCTTGGACTTGTTTGTCTATTGATTTCATCTGCAGCCCATTCAGATATTACATTGGATATTTGGTGCCAAAACCTTGCAATGCAATATATTTAATTCGTGGTTGTATTTTCGGGCAGGAACTAACATTTTGCACGTGTACATCTATGTAAAAGTAAGCGCCTAGCATGGATGACTCGTGCAGTATAATTGATGATCATCATCTCAATGCCAAGAGAATAGATATCTATCCCTGTGATCACCTCTTTCCGACAATTTTACGTATTAACTTTGGAGCTTTCGTGACTGCAGGAATTATTCTTTGGTTCTTTCGGTAAAGTCACGTATATAAAGAAACAAATTGGTGATATCTGTCTGCTTATATGTCTGTCTATAATTTTTTTCTGGTTCGATTTTATGTCGCTATTTCATTATACCTGATGATTGCTTGTGTTGCAATCGAAACGTCGTATGCTGTAATATATTATTTTTTCTTTATACGTGACTTTACCGAAAGAACCAAAGAATATTTTTTACGTATTACTGCTTCCAATGAAGTGCAGTTTCTTCACACTTTATTTAGATCATGCGGAGCACTGTAAAGTTGTTTTCGGAAAGGTGTTTGCTTGAGAAAAGAAGATCCGTTAAAGACATGGACGGCGCTCAAACGGAACTACTGCATCGTGATGCGGCATTCTGCAATGCTCCAAAGTGAGAACATTTCGTTGATGAAGAAGAGTTGACGACTCGAGATCATTGCACGCTGCCAACCAATCAGCACGCGCCCCTTCTTCGCACGTCACGACTCCGCTGACCAGTGAGCGCGCGCTCTGGGCTACATAAGCCGCCTTCTCCTCCCCGCCTGTGAGAATCTTTGCCCTCACCAAGCCATGGCTCGCACCAAGCAGACGGCTCGCAAGTCCACGGGCGGCAAGGCCCCCCGCAAGCAACTCGCCACCAAGGCGGCCCGAAAGAGCGCTCCGGCCACGGGCGGCGTCAAGAAGCCTCACCGCTACAGGCCCGGCACCGTCGCTCTGCGCGAGATCCGCCGCTACCAGAAGTCCACCGAGCTGCTCATCCGCAAACTGCCCTTCCAGCGCCTCGTCAGGGAGATCGCGCAGGACTTCAAGACCGACCTGCGCTTCCAGAGCTCCGCTGTCATGGCTCTGCAGGAGGCCAGCGAAGCGTACCTTGTCGCGCTCTTCGAGGACACCAACCTGTGCGCCATCCACGCCAAGCGCGTCACCATCATGCCCAAGGACATTCAGCTCGCCCGCCGCATTCGTGGCGAGCGCGCTTGAACGCCCAGCTCGGCCCTCAAAGCACAACACAAAGGCTCTTTTCAGAGCCACCACTTACTCGTGAGAAAGCTTCCATGTGTGTCCTTCAAAGTTCGGGTGCCGGAAACCTTCGTTTGCTGGTCACGGCTCTCACGAGTCGTCAGGCGTAAGCGACAATCAAGTTCATTTTCTATACCCCGCCGCTCATTCTGCAACATCACACGTTGGTGTTGTGTATAAGCGTTGTGAAACCATGTTTACATAATGTACAACAAAAGAGTTATTTTGGTGAAATGTATTTTACCTCGGAGTCGCGTGGTGGTGTGGAGGCCTAGCACCGTGCAGAGCCTCACGCCTCGCCTGATTTTGCCACCCGGCTGACGCTGGGTACGGGTGCCGTTTCCCCCCCCCCCCCGCGCTTCAATAATACTGTGTAATCGCTATAATTTTATAATCTACCGACCCTATAATAGTAATAGCACACATTGTGGTGGGGGGGGGAGTAAAGAGGACGTGAAACTTAGATGAATTTACCTCAGAGTCGCGTGTTAATGCGTGCGCCTATTTTTAACGGGAATTAAAGATGGCGTCCACCCCGCAACTGCTAGCCCGTCGCTAGCCGTTGCCAGGGGCAACCGGCGTCCAATGAAAGCGGCGAAGACGTCGCTAGGCGTTGCCAGGGGCAACCGGCGTCCAATGAAAGCGGCGAAGACGTCGCTAGGCGTTGGCAGGGGCAACCGGCGTCCAATGAAAGTGCGTATGGTCCGACATCCACACACAGACAGACAGACATTCACGATTTTATATATATAGATTAAACCCAAAGATATTGGTTCATGTTGTTTCAAGCCCGAGCTGATAAGAAGTTCACATTTTGCAAAGTGAGACTGAATTATTCACGCACATATATTTTTAGGCATTGCCCGAACAGGCGGTTAAAGAAAAATATCTATACACCGTATAGGCACGTGGGCGATCAATCACGAGCTCAAGGCTATCACAATGATTTATTATAACCAATGCGGTCCCTCAAAATGATGATTATAATCAATAATACATTGATATTTGCGGAATCCGCTTATAAGTTTGACTTGCCAGCACGCGCCCATGAATTAACTCTATCATGCTTAAAACTTGAACCTATTAAGTACGTGTATCGCATTGTTTAATTCATAAGATGCGTGTCCGCATTAAAATATATATGGATACAAATAATGAAAGTCAACATCGAATCCTCGCGTCCCGGCTTGTCATTGGTGGCTCAAGGAGAGGGCGGGACTCGAGCGAGAGGAGCCAATCAGCAGCGGCGCGCTCTACGATCCTCGTCTCCGCTATAAAAGCCGCTCCCGTGGTGCGTGTTAACGTCACAAATCGTTCGTACTTTGTCTCCAGTGCTTTTTGCATCCTAGGTCCGTTAACGATGTCTGGACGCGGCAAGACCGGTGGCAAATCTCGCGCCAAGGCAAAGTCCCGCTCTTCCCGCGCCGGCCTGCAGTTCCCCGTGGGTCGCGTTCACAGGCTGCTCCGCAAGGGCAATTACGCCCAGCGGGTCGGCGCTGGAGCACCCGTCTACCTGGCCGCCGTGCTCGAGTACCTTTCTGCCGAGATCCTCGAGCTGGCTGGCAATGCCGCCCGCGACAACAAGAAGACGAGGATCATCCCCCGACACCTGCAGCTCGCCGTGCGAAACGACGAGGAGCTCAACAAGCTCATGGGCGGCGTGACTATCGCCCAGGGCGGTGTGCTGCCCAACATCCAGGCCGTGCTGCTGCCCAAGAAGACCTCTCAGGCAAAGAAGTGAACGCGCCGCCGCCTCTACCACCACAACAACGGCTCTTTTCAGAGCCACCCACTTGCTTGCAAAGAGCTCGGACAGTCGTGCACAGGGGTTTTGTTATTAATAAGGACACCGTCGTCGAGTTGCCCTCGTCCCAAATTGCTCGCAATTAAACGAATGCTCTGCTCGTTCCAGATACCCTTTATGTCTAATTTAGGAACGGTATTTGAGCAGCATTCCAACATTGCATCAATCATGGAACATGGTTTAGAATAAATTGAGGTGCCTATTGGAAGAAAGTATCGTGTTTTTTTAAAGAATAAAACTCGCTCTTTTTGAGCGGTCAGATTACATATGAAGAGGAGTCGGAGAATGGTTCAAGCACTTTAAGGGATCTGCGAGCCACCCTCACGCACCACGCAAACACGACATCTCCGCTCTCACGACAACACGCACCAATCAATCTTAATTTTTTTTCACACACGCGCGGGAAATAAGAGCTGGACGGGGGGGTCAGGGGTTAAAGGGCAGTGACGTCACCAGGACCAGGCGTGCTGGACGCGAATGTGTATTGGGAGCGGAGATTGAGGAGTTAAAAGGGGCTGTGGGACGTGTGCCCGGGGTTGGTCTTGGAACGAATATTGCTGTGCGTTGCGGAGATTGAGGAGTTAAAAGGGGCTGTGGGACGTGTGCCCGGGGTTGGTCTTGGAACGAATATTGCTGTGCGTTGCGGAGATTGAGGAGTTAAAAGGGGCTGTGGGACGTGTGCCCGGGGTTGGTCTTGGAACGAATATTGCTGTGCGTTGGTGAAAACAGGTCCCTGTGGGGTGGGCTGGTAGGACCGAACAATTGAATGGCTATAATAAAATGAAATGGCAAAAAATGGGCGCCAATGAGTGGATGGAAACGTAGACGTAGTGGAACATAAGAAACAATAAAGTAGTAGTAACCGTTCTGCAAAAAAATAATAGTATTGCACAAGTATGTACCTACGTGAGTGCAGCTTGGAGCAGACACAGTGAGTAGTAACAATCTGCACGAGATGCAGCGCCGTGGGCCACGCCCCTATCACTGTTAGCCCCGCCTCCTCGCCCCCGGTACTGTATTCTCGACTGTAGACTCCGCCCCTTTTCGCCAACGGCCCCTCCCTCCATCGCGCTAAGCTCCGCCTCCCACCGCTTGACCCCGCCCCGCTCCCCCGTGGCCCCGCTCCGCCCCCGTGGCCCCGCCCTCCACCCGCGTAACCCCGCCCCGCCACCCGTGGCCCCGCCCCATCTCGGTGTCCCCGCCCAGCCCCGCCCAGCCCCGCCCCCTGCCGCTGTAGCCCCGCCCGCTGCCGCGTAGCCCCGCCCCCTGCCGCTGTAGCCCCGCCCCCTGCCGCTGTAGCCCCGCCCCCTGCCGCGTAGCCCCGCCCCCTGCCGCGTAGCCCCGCCCCCTGCCGCGTAGCCCCGCCCCCTGCCGCTGTAGCCCCGCCCCCTGCCGCGTAGCCCTGCCCCCTGCCGCTGTAGCCCCGCCCCCTGCCGCGTAGCCCCGCCCCCTGCCGCTGTAGCCCCGCCCCCTGCCGCTGTAGCCCCGCCCCTTGTCGCGTAGCCCCGCCCCCTGCCGCGTAGCCCCGCCCCCTGCCGCGTAGCCCCGCCCCCTGCCGCGTAGCCCCGCCCCCTGCCGCGTAGCCCCGCCCCCTGCCGCTGTAGCCCCGCCCAATACACCCCGAGCGGGGGAGAGATTCCCAGGCCTGGCTCGGCTGGAGAGCCGCCGACGAGGGGGGGGAGGTAGGGAGTTGTTTTTAATGAAAAAGCTTTAAATGTAAATGTTTCTATTAAAAAACATCAGGGAATGTAACCTTGTTAACCATTTACTCCCTTTCACACACGCGGGGGAACTATACGAAGGGAGAGCTTGAGGCCTAGGTCTAGGCTTTAGGCCTACCTGTAGGCCTTAGGCCGCCGTGGGTTAATTGTTAATATAAATGTTTTAATTATTTATGTTGAAGCTTTAAATGTCAATGTTGCTATTTAAAAACATCAGGGAGTGTAACATTGTAATTAAAAGCTATCTGAGGGAATTATAAGGGAATGCTACACTTGGTTAGCCAGGATAGCGTCACTGAGTCTAAATGTTTTTGTAGGGTCATGCCAAGTGTTTGCAGTAGGGGGCGATGTTGACACACGGACGGACGGACGGACAAACGGACGCACGATATAATCTATTGGAGTCTGGTCCACTTCGTTCCTACCAGAAGTGCATAAACCAATCTACTACGCCTCTTCACATGCGCGTGGAACGAATGATTATTGCATTCGTTCTAAATTTGTAGCTTTCGTGACTGCAATGATTCATACTCTTAGGTTTTTTCGGTAAAGTCACGTAGGTAAAACAATAATAAATAACTAAAACAATATAAATAATAAAATAACAAATCAGGGGGGAAGAGGGGGGCTTATCTGAATGTGGTTGCCGGGAAGTGGCGGGGGTGTCGGGGCTAAAAGAGAACAAATGAGCACATCAGCTCAGGGTTGTGGCCGGTGTTAGCTGATAGTAAGCATAAAAGTACTGGTAAACGCTGGGGATGTTAACACTCGGTAAAGTATAATATTACCTGTCAAATAAGATGGTACAAATATGTGTAGTTAAATATTTTTTACATGGTTAATAACATCTTTCCAATGATTACTCATTCGTGTTACTTAGTGCAGTAAATACGTGTTACTTATTGCAGTAAAAACAACTCATCGCATGAACCATCCTGCGCTCCTAGAATATCAACTCTGTCAATGCATTAAACGTAAGATTATATATTTTCTTTAAACATTCGACTGCGGAGTCACTTGAGTTGAATTTGAGTGGTGATGATTGTGCACCGTGCCTTCAAGGCGCGCGACCCTTCTGCAGTGCGTGAGCTACTCATATCTTGCCACGTAAAATGTTAAACTTTCCATATAATGTCGGTTAATTTTGAGTAATTTTCTTCAGTTTGTTGTCCATCTGAAAATCCATATATTTATTCATTTCAAAGTTCGATTAAAACGTCCAGTTAAAAGTTCGGTGACAAGGGACGATTGACATGGCGCGCAGTCCTCACCATAGCGCGAGAGGAGGAATCGCGAGCGCGCGAGGCAAAACTTAAATAGAAAATATTTCGTTGGAATTAAATGAGTAGTATGTTTAAGCATCTTGTCTTGCAAAAAATTCGAGTGCGTTTTAAATAGTGTTCATCAGTAACACTTTTGAAAACCGACAATCATCATATCTTGCCCTGACCGAACAATGTCTCCCAAATGTTGGTTGTTCACTTGTTTAGAATTATAATTTATATCGTGAGCATTGTCGTATATTGCATAAGTAACGTACATTAAAGAAGTGATCTTCGTGATGATGTATCAACTAGATGCATGTAAGTATGAACGTTACGGGAGTAATCGAGCCCAAAGGCAGGCGTGATAAACACAGTGAGTATGGTGGCAACTCCCTCACTAGAGCTGAGTGCTGGATGATCTCAGCGACGTCCGCATTCAGTACGCCGCTTCTATAATAACCTCGGGCCTGGAGGACGCTCGGTTCGAATTCGTGAGAGCGCTGATTTCGATTTCCAAGAGGCGAGGCGATAAAAGCGACGTCTTGAGATGGCGGAAACTGCTCCTGCTCAACCACCAGCTGCGGCTACTTCAGCGCCTAAAAGCCCCAAGAAGAAGCGCGCCGCTCCAAAGGCCAAGAAGGTCGGCCCCAGCGTGTCCGAGCTCATCCTCAAGGCTCTGGCCAGCAGCAAGGAGAGGAACGGCGTGTCTCTTCCTGCGCTCAAAAAGTCGCTTGCTGCCGGAGGATACGACGTGGAGAAGAACAATGCCCGCGTGAAGTTGGCCATCAAGAAGCTCGTGGCCAAAGACGCCGTGGCGCAAGTGAAGGGCAGCGGCGCGTCTGGCTCTTTCAAACTCAACAAGGAAAAGGCTGCCGCAAAGGCGAAGCCCAAGTCGTCAACGGCAAAGCCCGCAGCTAAAAAGCCCGCGGCAGCCAAGAAGGTGAAGAAGCCCGCGGCAGCCAAGAAGACCGCGCCCAAGAAGTCTCCCAAGAAAGCAAAGAAGCCCGCGGCTGCCAAGGCGGCCAAGAGCCCCAAAAAGGTGAAGTCGGCTGTTAAGCCCAAGAAGGCGGCGAAGAGCCCAGCCAAGCCCAAGGCTGCGAAGCCCAAGGTCGCTAAGCCCAAGACCGTCAAGGCCAAGGCCGCCAAACCCAAGGTGGCCAAGCCCAAGAAGGCCGCGGCCAAGCCCAAAAAGACTGCGCCAAAGAAGTGAATCCGATGGGACGACCGACGCTCGATTCACTCCACCTCAACGGCTCTTTTCAGAGCCACCCACTTCGTTCAAAAAGTGAACCAGATGCTGTGTGGGGGCCGTTGGCCCCCGGGGTCCCTCCCGCCTGCATCCCCTATTCCGTTTACGTTACCCCACCTCCCTATTACTCGCTACGGTTTCGCCGGCATTCGAATGCGACGCCCCTACTGTTACAGCCTCGCGCCGCGCTCCCACGCTGCGAGCATACGTGCGCACATCATCGTCAATCAAACGCCGTGCTCGCAGTATAGCCCTGTGCGGCACGTTACCAATGCGCATCCGTATCCGACATGTAACGAACGTATGCACACACACACACACGCCGCTCCGTGCACTCCAACTCCACACCAACTACGCAAGTTATGATCGCGCACCTGTATCACACACGGAGTGAACACACGCGACACCCACTCTTGCGCCGCTCTGCGCAGCGCTCGCCGTCTGCTGGCCGCTTGCGTTATGATCGCGCACCTGGGGTACGCCTATTACGCACGCCGCGAGCTTACGCACACACAGTACCACACGCGTTCCCACACGCAACCCGCGCGCTCAGCTCCGCGCAGCGCTCACTCACGTGGCGAACCACTGTGCACACAGCGCACCTGTTGGGGCCGCTGGTCCCCGGAGTCCCTCCCTGCTCCGTGCCTATGGCAGGGGCTCCGCCGTGCGCCGACCCCTCGCTGCTCTGCGAGCAGCTGCTGCCGTCGCTGGGCTCATCGCCCGACGGCTCCCCTCCCTGGTCCGTCCCTCCGCGAGCTCGTGTGAGAGGCATAGCTCGCCGCACGCCCTCGTTCACCTGCAGACGCTGCGTTGTCTCTCCACGGATCACGCGCTATTAAACGGGGGTCGGGGGCGAACGACACTGCCCTCACACTGCGCGAGTCCCGGCGGCGACAGACGGATCGGGGACCTGCGGACGCACCGACCCCTTCACCCACACTACGAGCGCACACACCTGCACACACGCGACACCCACTCGTGCGCCGCTCTACGCAGCGCTCACTCACGTGGTGAACCACAGTGTACACACGCGCACCCACACGCTCACACTGCACGACAATATCACGCGAGACCACGCTTCGCTATTAATGATTTATTATCTGATACCTGGTAATTTAATGTTAAATCAGTGAGTCGACGAGGCTGGCCTACGCTGATACCTTTATACCTATTCCCGATTTATCTGCTATGATTCTAATTCACCTACTTACTTCCTGCTGGATGCCCACGGCGGTTCGTTGATCCCGTGCTCGCAGCGCACCTCGATGCGTCTCACGGACGATCGGGTCGCTGGACTGGAGAGCGTCCTGTCGCCTGGCGCTGGAGAGAAGAGAGCGATTTCCCCTCCGCGCTCCTCTATTTATCCTCCCTACCTCCAAAGGGGATGCTGCGCTGAACAATGGGCTCGTGCACCCCAAGCCCGCGCACGGCAGTCCCCAGGCGCTGTTGATATGCTAATCAGTGAGCGACGTTGGCGGCGTACATCCTAATTACTCCCTTACCCTTCCTAACAATGGGGCCTGCGCGCTCAAGCGCAATTATCCCAACCCCCCATGACTATGCGCAACAGCCCCTGTGACCCCGCTATTCATGCTGTCTCGTGCCTCCCCTGCTTGCCCCGTCGACTCGTGGGGGTGTGTGTGGGGGGAAATGCGCCTCAACCACGGTGGCCGAATGCCCCACGCCGCGACCACACCATATTAAGGCCGGCAGCAGCGCCGCGGTACCACGTAGCACGGGGGAGGTCATCCAATTCCCTGATCGCCGGAAACCGTGAGAATTAATCCCGATAAGGGTCTCTCGGATAAAAACCGGTCGGCCAGGCGACCTCCCCTCGGAGCTCTATGGGGGGGGGGGGGGAATGAGTGCAGGTGTGTTCATGTGAGGTGAGGTGAGGGGGACGCGGGGTCGGC